AGAGTCTTCTATAGCAAAGTGATTATGTAAATGTGTAGAGTCAAAACTCAGTCCTTGCATCACCAGAGCTGGCTCATCCTAACGAGGTCCTGCATCCTTTTGATTCTTAATAGGCCCTTTTCCTCTTGGAATCCTTCTGCTTAATAGCTTAGAAGAGCTTCTTTTCATGCATTGCTCTTCCCAGTACAGTTCATCCAGTTTCCTACTTTTTAGAGCCCATCAAAAAGGGAAAGGTAGGACTGAAGAAAAATATGTTGGCCAACGTCTTAGTATGCAAAGAAAAAGGGGAGGACCATCACCGTCATTTCTGCAACGGTCACAAAATTTTTTAAAGGCTAGCATCCTATCGCATTCACCCTACCTGGCTTGGATGTGGAACATCCTTAATGGCCTCATCCTACTGCTGCCCCTGCCGCCTTTGTGACCGTGAAGCATTTCCATGAAAGATTTCTCTTCTTGGTGTCTTTCCTGGAATTGCAAAAGCGTGTGGATTTGCTCACCGAATCTCAGACTAGTCCCATAGCAGAATTAACCAGCCAGTTTGGCCACCGCTTTCATCCTTACTGGATCACAAAAGCATTTTCCTTATCCTGTTGATTTCTGTAATTTTTTGTAGGCTTTAGGCACTTGAGCACCATCAGCTGAGTCAGTGACATTTGGTACCAGACGCATGCACATCCAGAGGCCACCTGTAACCAGGTTCTTCATAGTCTGCTAGCCTAGCAGGGCTACAGCCCATCTTCAGCTGCCGAGACCCCCACGTGAACACACTTGTCTGGTTCCCCTGCCCCTTCCCAACGTAATCCTAGGGGCTGCAGTATAGTGCCAGCTCTTCAGTGGCAGGGATAAAGTTTGGCACTCCATCACGGGAGGCAACATTAGGATTGTAGGATGAACTTTAGACAGTCCTATGAGGGTGCTTATAAGGTGTGCTTAATAGATTGCTGTTTCTGCAGAAACATTATTGCACCGACGACTCTGCAAAGTATGGGCAGCTGTCCCAAGTCAAATCCTTGCTTCAGAACAGTTAACTGAAAACAATGCCTCCCTTTCCAGCGAGGTAAACCTTGAGCATCACACTTATAGCAGTCATCATATAGATGATATATTCTGTGTTCAGTCAGTTGAAGATGATGGAAAACAAATATCTGTGACACCTGTGACATTTGGAAAACAAGTTTCCGTTCTGTTTCTAATTGGATGCTAGCTTCCAAGCTGTACTTGCAATATTAAAATTCCTTGCTGACAATCTAACAGTTTTATTGATCATTACATACTAAATAAAAGCCAATCCATGGGTCAAGATTAGTTTACACTGATAGGAATGATAGTCCCAGGTTAAGGTCGCATTGGCCCTGTGATCACTAGTGACATTTACATTAATAAAAGTAGCAAATTATTGCCTTGGAGCGTAGAGTGTTTGGGCTGTTTCAGATCCACCCGATTGAGTTTAGGAGTCGAGTTTTCTAAACACTACCATTTCAGTCATCAGAAAGGCCAATACATCCAGATAATATCTCTAAATGTTGGAGAGCCTGAACTCTTTCACCAGGTTATAACATCTTAAGGGATCTTTCTGAAATTTCTTGCCATTTTGTAACTAACTCTACCTGATGTCAGTATTTGGGACTTGTTAATATTGGGCAATGCAAAAACCGCTCACAAATTGCCAATGAGCTGATCCGTATTTTGAGATTTGTCTTTTCCCTTGTTGCTTTGCTTTCAGCTTGATTTGGGAGGCACAGGCTAGGTCCTCTTCACACACTAAAATGGAACAGGGTCACTTTTTAAGCATTTCCCCCCCAACCCTATGCGTCAGCTAACTGTATTATATAGATGTTCAGCACAGTGAAATGAGTTTGCGATTAATGTGGAAAATGAATAGCTGAGCTATAAATGGGCTCGCTGGGAGAGTTTTGGAGCCCATGGAGAGAACGTTAATGTGTTGCCACGTTATTGGTGCTAATCACTTAAAATGTGCTCCTTTATTAGTAGCTTTAATGAGAGCCACTTAAACTGTGCATTAAAAAGAGGAACTGCAGAGAGGGACGACAAACTGGGTGGCAGGCAGTCATAATTCTAATTGAAATGCTTTTAGTACAAAAAAGTAGCCAGAATCCAGTAATTCTTTGCACTTTCTAAAGCCTCCCCCTTATATCCCATCAATTGACTTTGTTTCTAAGGCTGGGGTTATATATTTTTTTCACAAATGCTTGTGGGATATTTTTCCTTCAACCCTCAATTTGGATTTTATTTAATCAGGTACCAAAAAATGGTCAGTGTTGTCTGGAGCTGGACTGTTGGGTTGAAAGCCCAGGCAGGTGAAAGGTAGGAGATAAGGGAGGGTGAGAGGCTTTATGTAGGTTTAGGTTAGTGTCCCAAGACTTCCATTAGCGCTCGGGGCTCCCAGGGTTTGCACACACGTGTAGGAACGCTGTCTCTTCCTTACAGGCAGTAGTAGATGGTTTAAGATGAATGGATGATGCATATTAGGAATGGTGGCTGATCTGTAGCTAATCTGTATGCATACCTTTTACCTTTAGGTTTCAAAATGTGGATTTGTGGTATTCTGTTTGTTTTTGGGGGGGTGGTTGTTTTGTTGGGTTTTTTTACCCTAACCCTAGGCATCATGAATTAATGGACTTTGTATTGCTGGTTTTGTGTCTAGTGGCACTGTTCTTTCTGATGTTGAGAGAACCTGTCCAACTCAGACCAGATAGTCCTGGACTCATGGCATGCAGCCAAGCCATAGGGACCTTTTACCTTTGTAAACAGCAAAAGGTCCCTATGCATTGTCCCTTGTTTTAGATGGTGGTGGGGTAAATATATACGTTTTCCCCTTTTGTTTTTTTCACCAACTGAAACTAAAAACAGTTGAATGCCTGCCCATACTTCGATGGTGCATTAGGCTAGCACAGGTAAGGCATGCCTGCTTTCATAGCCACTGGTGCACAAGAAATTCTGAGACTAGTGTCACATCCTACCACCTTCAGATCTCCAGGGAAAATTGCTATGTACCCATTGAGTAAATTGGCAACCATTTTTGGTACGAGGCTGGGACTTGCATTTCTGGTTCCATAGTGAGACATCTTAACTGCTCTCCTAGGCATGCCTCTTGATTGAAAATAGTCGTATGTAATTTTTCCCCTCCTCCTCGCTGCTAGACCTCACGCTGTGTACGGTGGAGGCAGGTACCGGGAGATAAGGATCAGTACAAGGCACCTTGACCGAGGCTCTGTAGACACTGTACTGCTTTATTTTGCTCAGAGTAGCACGGATGCCCACCAGTGGCAGGGCAGAGCAGCGTGCAGAGTAGCCCGTCTGCTGTTAAGCTTTGTAAGTCTTCTCTTGGTTCCTGGCTGCAGTGCAGAAGGGAGAAGAAAAATGTTCCAGGCTTAGAGCACTAACCCCAGGAACTTGGGAGACCTGGATGCAGTTTCCATCTTGTGCAAGCTTGAGCAAATCACTTAGCTTCTCCCTGCCTCAGTTCTCCGTCCATGTCGGGTGGATAAATACATTAAAAAATGCAGGCTACTTGGATACCCCAGTGACTACCTGTGAGTACGATAGATAAGCTTATTTGCGAGTGAGGATGATCATCTGTGCTTGGTCTTGAGGCACTGTATTATTGGGAATGGAAGTTTGGGGAAGAAGGCAGTGTTTTGTGAGAACCCCTGGGAGATTTGTAAGGCAAACCTTATTGGCAAGACTGAAGATTTGCTGCGACTGAAACATGGGTTTTGGGCAAGGAAGATGAGGGAGGCGGGTAGGAAAGATTGCTGATGGTGAAATCGTAAAGTCTCTGATTTTGCACCTGTGGGGAACACTGCAATGCCAGCAGCATTACCCGAGGCAAAGTGCCTTGTGTACCTTCTTTTTTCTAGCGCTGGGGAATGGCAGATCCATCTGTTATCAGAGACGTCTAACACGTGACCCTGTGTCAAAGACAACCGTGGATCTTTGTCATTGTCACCATCTTGTAGGCAACACAAGCAGGATGATCAGCATGCCCACCCTTGCCGTTTTGTTTTCACTTTATGTAAAATATTCAGGCATGCTAACGTTCTGCTGGCTCATTTTGCTGGTGGATCTGTGTTTCCTGCTTGGTGAATCTGTGCGTGCTGACGTTCGTTTCTTCTGAATACCTCTGCAGGATTTTTCCCAGGAAGCTCTCAGGGATGCGACGCCTTTCTCCGTCACAAGATGACCCTCATTTCACCCTCCATCTTGAAGAAATATGGCATCCCGTTTGACCGGGTATGTATAGAGGACATTTCAGGGATATCTGTTAGTTGGCTGAGAACTGGGGCTGCTGCTTCTGTTGGAAGGAAACCATGCTGCGGAAGAGAGTGCTTCACTTTGCAATATAAAAACGCACTGTCCGGTTAAACCAGGTGATCGTTTAAAAATTAAAGATTCACCGCTTGGCTAAGGCAATCCCTATAAAGTGCTTCCAATAATGGCATTTTGCATTTGAACTGCCTTCTGCATTCAGCTAACCTAAACCTAAGCCTTGTAAACCTGGGAATTGAGGAGTATTCTGTTTTACTGGGGGGAAAGGGGGACAACGACTCTGTGGCCTTCCCAGTGGTGGGCAGTAAATGTCAGCGGTAGTTTTGGGAATCCCATTTCTGAATTTCCCTGCTCTAAACGACTCTAGAGCTAGAGACAGAAGTTACCTCTCACATCACCAGTCTTTTTGGTTTAAATGAAGCTGTGTCAATAAGATGATGCAACTCCCCCCTATCTTCTGGTCTGAGCTAAGGCTGGGCAGTCATTTCAGAACACTTGCCCGTAGTCCTGTAGTTTTAGGTTTGAGATTAATTGCACCTTTTTTGCTACCACTCCACCCAAAGTGATCAGGATATTTGTTGAATCAGTTTGATCACTTCTGCCACTGGTTGTTAGTCCCACACATAGCACTTATCTGCGGTCAGATGGTATTTGTACAGGGTCTGAAGCAATGGCCAACGGCGGGGTGCAGGGCTGGGGGAATAGCTGAAGGGTACAAGAGCAGGAAGAGCTAGAAATTAATAGAGGAAAAGTGACTGTCCTTTCTCATTACCTTTTACCTGCCCATTTCTGATGGGTATTGCCAGCGCGTTTTCTCCGAGATACGAATGCCTACTTCCTGATCGTTCTCAAAGTAGGGATTTGTTAGAGTTTGGGTGCCTGAGACAAGGCACAGACCAGAATCAAAGGGCTTCATCATCCTTTGAGATGGAATTGAATGCTCTCTCTTTTTTTAGAAATAAAAGATTCTGGTGCTCTGTGTCAAGACTATGAATTCATTCAATTTACTGCTCCAGAAGCTGCTTCATTTTTCCTAGTGAAGGCTGCGATGAAGGAAATGTGAAGTGCCATCATCTGACTTTTCAGATCAGCTTACTGTCAGTGCAGCGGAGACTTGAGAAGCGGTATGGTGCTTGTGGCTCGGTATCAGCTCCCAGGCTGGGCCCATTTTGCACATGATGGTTGATCACTGTACTATAAGGGACAGTAAGCTGAGTTGTTTTTTTTTTTTTTTACATTTCCACTCATGGAGCCTAATGTTCAAATATGAACAGGCACACGTCTGCTTTACACAGTTAAGAAACTCCATTAAAGAAGTCCAGGTGTGGGTTTTGTAGTCTTTTAGTATGCCCATGGTGAGAATTCACTCTCATGGAAAGGATTTCTCCATGACTTTTTTTTTCCATTTTACAGTGGCTCAACTTATAACTAGTGTCTCACATTACCCTGAAGACTTTGAATTTTGAAGTCCCAGGTCAAGAGGAACATGAGCTGATTCAAACCTAAAGATAGGTCACTGCTTTATCTCAGAAGGATGATGAAAATAAAAAAGCAGGAACCTCTACTATATTTTTTTTTACATTATTCTACTAAGAGGAATTTTTTACTTATCGCTCGTTCCTCCTGCAGAGTGTGAGAAGCAGCAAATAGGGAGATAATTTCATTCAGGCAGCCTATTAAGGCATCTTTTTACCTCTCATAAAGGCCATGGTGAAGTAAATAAAAGTCTCCTATAAGACTTGAATTGGTTGCATATACCAAGCATTGCTATTTTCTTCCTTCCAAGTAGCTGTTGTAATGTTCTTGCTTTTCCTTTTGCTTGCTTGTCTGAGCAAAAGTTTACATTGACTGCTAATTGGAATAGCTTCTGATCAATAGCATAGCAAATTTCTACTTCTTTTCTCGGAAAAGATTTGTAAAAAGGGCAGTAAAGGCAGGATTTTTCACAACTGATCCCAAGGAGGTTTTATTGAAGTGTCGGTTGGGGGGTAACTTGGAAAATGCTTTACAGTAGGGCCTCTCCAATGTGCTGCTTGCTGAAGAGTCTGTTCTACCTTCCTGGATGGTTTTTTCCCCTTATGGATCTTTTCATTTGTGAAGCAAAGGAAACGTGCAAGTGTATTCAGTACGAAAGACATGCACACGATATTATGAACACCGGTGCAATGGGGGCTGTGTTTTCTGACAGTCCTCAGAGTCGGTCTTAGTTGGTCACTGCATTTATTGAAAGCCAAGAGGGACCCAAACGATCATAAAGGACGAAATCCTTTCAAGAGCGAACTCTCCCTTTTAAAGGAGAGGGGATTATTAACATTCAGGGAGGGAGTCTGTCTGGGAAGCCTGACTGCAAGAGAGCGGAAGGGATGTGCTTTCATGAGAGCTTCCCTCTTCCTCTGTGCCTATGCGAGGCGCTCGCTTCAAAACCTTTTAATAGTGAGGTGAGGGAAAGCAGGAAGACGTCCCTAGCCTGAGCAACCCACCGCTGGAAAAATCCTAACCCGGAATAACAGCTTCTGGAGCGAGCGCATCAGTGTTCAGGGAAAGACTGATGCCCTCCTCCTTGTGGGAATTCAGGTAGGATCCCTTCATCTAAATTCCTGGCAGATTTCAAAGAAGTGAATCCACACACGTTTATAAATCTCTGTAATGGTATTTACTTCTGGAAAAAAAAAAAAAAGCAGATCGATATCAGAGCTTTTTAATAATTAAAAATGTGTATTTCTGTAATCCCCTATTGATTTCTCCATTTATTCTTCACGAGCTTGCAGAAGTCAGTAAATTCAGGCCTTTCTCCGTGAGTGGCAGTTTGTGCTGGCTTTCCCTCAATAGTTATTACTTTTCTACATGGCCTATCCATCATCCTGAGCGCTCCTTCATTTATTGTAGGGATAATGTTGACAGCAGTGACATGGAGGATGTACACTGTGGGCTGGAAATGAAGACACCAGGATGTAGATTTTCTGACAGGAACATAATCTTTCCATCTTCTTAACTTAGCGATCTGCAGCTCTGCTTTGATTTATGAAGGGGCTGGGTGGGATGGTGTTCTGTGGAGCTGAGTAAGGATCGGCCTTGAGCGCCTGCATGGGTGGATCTCGAATTTTGAGAAGGGGGACGCTGATGGTATGGAGCATCATCGTACATAACGTGACCCTTTTCTTCAGTTAAAGAGGAACTGGAAACTTTACTGTTGCTCTAGGGGCCTAGCGCTATATAAGATCAAAGCAAAAACAACTATAACTTTATTGGATTATGCACTGATTTGCTAGATAATATATTAAATTTAAAAATCACACGAAACTAGACAAAAGTGGTCGACATTGTCAAATATTGTGTCATTAGTCCTGTAAGTTTTATAATTCAATGTACAGCTCTTATTCAGAATGGTAAAACAAAATCTGGCCTTCTTGGGCATCTTGACACTGCTTTCAAAACTTCACTGTCAGTCATTTTTACACCTGAGTGGGTATTATTACACCTGAGTTAAAGTTTTAAGCTAGAGCTAAAAACGGTACGCAGGGCTGTGAAACAGAAGAGAGATATTACCAGGAATGGCAAACAGACAGCTGACATTGCAGAAGAAAGGATAGTTTGAATAGTGGAACAGCAAGACCACTCAAAGGAGAAGGGACATGTGGAATAAGGAGACATTAGCAGAAATCAAGTATATTATAATGAGCCAGGAAGTCGATTGACTAGTAAAAGCCCTCTGTGCTGCCTGGATAGAAATGCTGCTGCCTCTGCCAGGCAGCTGGTTTTCAAGTTTGGGTAGAGCAGGAATCAAAAGGGAATGCAACTGAGTTTCTTTACCCCCCGCCAGTCCACTCCTGAGCACCTCTCTTCCAGAAAACCCAGAGGAGTCTTTATTAGAAGAGGTGTTTGTATGGGATTTTTTTCCTGGTAATACTCTTTCTTTATCCTGGTTATGTTAACACCATTGGAAAGCCTCGGTATTGGTGTTTGGACCTCGTGCAACCTCAGCATTGCTTTGTGGCAAGAATGAGAAGTTGTTTTGAAAAGACCTTTTTAAATCTCTTGATATTTCCTTAATTTAGCTCCTGCTGATGCAGTCTATGCCATACCTTGAAGGAGGTGAAAAGGATAAAACCCGTAACAAAATACAAGGGAAGATAAATTTAACTAGCAAGCAGTACTGCACGTAGGATTTGGCCTGTGGGCCTCAGACAGACCCTGCATACTGCATCTGTTGTGCGGAGCCAGTGTGGCACATGGCTTGGACCTGGTGCTGCAGGCACTGCCCATGGCACAGAGGGTCAGTCCAGGGCATGTGCTGTTTATGCAGCTCCTGTGCAGGGCCAGGCCAGCTGGGCACTGTGCAGTACGTGTCTTGTGCCAACTCCCTGGTTGCAGACAGCACCTGCGCTATCTGCAGTGCAAGCCTCAGAGCAGGGCTAGTGTGCCCTACCCATTGCACGGGGCTGGCACGATGTGCATACGGTGCCCCCACCCAACCTGGCTCTGTGTGCTGGCTCCTGGGTGGCCTGATCTGGCCTGCAGACTGGCCCAGAGACCATCATCCAGTCCCTGGGGCCAGATGAGTTTAACACCCCCGACTTAGAGAAGTCCTTCAGCGTGCAAGAGCTGTACCGAGGCAGCCTCTGTATCTCAGGACAGCCGGACCTGAGAGCAGCTGTGAGGCGTGCACCCCCTAGCAGAGTACTGAGCTTGAGTGCTTGCAGACTGGGAGGGCCTGGGTGGGACTTGTCAGGGAGACCAGATAAACCTGTCCTTAAAACCAATTTCCTCCCCTCTTTTTTGGGTGTCTGCTGCATTTGTTTTATGCGTTGTGGTTTAAGCGTGGAGTTTTAACAGTCCTTGCTTTAAAAAAAGAAGTTTGCCTTGTTCATAGAGGCAACCTGAAAGAGGTTTTCTTGAGCAGGACTTTACTAAACAAGACTTGAGGAAAGGGATGATCCTTTGAACCCTAGCTGACTTCCTGCCCCTGGGGCAGGGGGCTGGACTGGATGATCCATCCGCGGTCCCTTCCATCCCTAATGTCTATGAAATCCATGATGGGAAACATGCAACAAAAAATGGACTCTTCCCTTGGCTAGCTTTCCATGCCTGGCTGAGTTTGTTGTAGAGCTTTTCTGACTCACTTTCAATTTTTTTTTTGTTGAAACTCTTCTGTTTATAGTTCTTATATTTGGAGGTTGTGTGGAAACCTACATGACTTCTCTAAAAGTCAAATTTCTTTTTAACTTGCCACCTCTTACTGTCTAGACATATTTTCAGGTTATGGATGACTGTTCCTAAAATCCCATTTTAGGTTCTTAAACCATTTTGTTGAGACTTCCCCCGGTAGGAAATAATCCCAAGTGTTGCTGCTTCCCATGCAACTACCTCTGCAGTATAGGATCTGTCAACACTTCTAGTACCAAAAAGGCAGGGTCAGGTCAAATTTTGACTC